CCGTCTTACCTTCACAGAGAGATGCATTGAGTTTCCCAAAGCTATACACTGGGGCTCCTGATCTCCAGCCATATCCTTCTCCCCTCTGTGTCCCCACTTTCCCTTGGGTGTTGATATCACTTGGTCTCAGGGATTTCCAGAGGAACTCGTCTGGGCTCACACGCCAACCGGTTGGGTCTGGCCACCCCCCGTGCCCTCTTCCCCTTTATCTCTGTCCCACATCCATCATGTGATACGTCACATCCCAGAAGGCAGAAGCCTCAGTTGGCAAAAGGTCTGGGTGACCTTTGGAGGTGGAGACGGTGTATACCCAGCCCAGTTTTGCTCACAAGGTGTAAATGTTACTTTTAGCTGCCATGTCCTAGGGCTCTGAGGCCATGGACTACAACACCTCCCTGTTGTCACACACTGATGTGGAGGCTGCCCTTCCAGTGGCCGTGGTGATTACCTGCCTGCCTCATCCCTGAGGAGTGTCAGGAGGCTGGCTGCAGTCACCTTTCACTCATTCACTTGGCATTCATGCAGTCATGCTAGGTGCCCCCTCACCCTTCAGCCTCTCTGCCTCCTCTTGCTTCCTGCTCAGCTCCAAGATGGTGCCCGAGGCCGTTGCCCATGAAGGTCATGGTGATGAGTAAGGTTAGATCATAGATAGTAGGAAGAATCGCTTCCACATTAGGAATGTAGTAGCTTCTTGAATCTACTGCTTTTCCTTTATCCAAGGATCCAAAAATCTCTGGTTTTCATTATCTTTTTCAGTAGGTGGTAGTGGCAGTGCTGGTGGTGATGAGGTCAGATGCAGTTTTCCACATCAACATCTTGGAAAACAAGTAGTTCAAGATCTTCTCCAATTTGACTTACAGTAGATCGTCTACTTCCAGGCCTACTTCTGCTAAGAGCTGTGGAAGGTTGATTTATAATGCACTGGCAGACCTTCTATGGTGGAAAAGGAAATATTTCTCACCACGCCAAATCTGGGGTAGAAACAGCTGTGCTGCCCCCTGCCTCTTGGTGGGGGAAGAAAACTTATTATTGGTTCGAGCTCCCTGAGAATAAAAGTCCTTCTCAATGTCTGGAGTGGATCTGACTCTCAGGTCAGCCTGCAGCCCTTCTGGGCTTTCTTCCCCGTTGCTTGCTGAGATACACCCATGGCTCATTTCTGCCCCGTGGTTGATGTGCCTGAACTTCAGCGGTTCAGTTTTTACTCTTTGCCCTCAGTCTGGGCCAGCCTCCTGTCTCTCCACCTAAGTGAAACCAATTTAAGAAAAGCTTCCATTTGTTAAAAGTGTGATTTCTCCCTCTTTGAGTTCAGGGAAAATTCCAAAGAGATTTACAGTGAGAAAGGAGAGGAGGGTGTTTCCAGCAGTAAGCAGTATTGAGACCAGAAGCCGCACAGCAGCACTCAGTGTGATGGCAGGGCAGCAACTGGGATGATCCAGGCTCCGTAACTTCCCGCTTAGCTCTGCAGTCCTCAGCAAGGTGGAGAACGAGGCCTTAACCAGGAAGGGATTTTTGCCCCGTGTTATCACAGTACTTAGCTTAACGAGCAGTGGGTGCCCTCAGGAGTGACCCTTCTCTGGACACCAGCCTTGGATTGGATGCCCTCAAGCCTGCCTCTCCAGGCTTCTCAGTGAGAAGGTTTCTGTCGTACCCATTTTAGAGCTTGGGAACTCTCCTTGTAGTTTGCTTGTTATTTTTCTTTGGCAGTAAAGCCATGGCTTGTGGAAATGCCCCATTGGATGATGATTCGTGAATGCCATAAAGACAGTACTCAAAGGAAAATGTCAGACCTGTGCACTCTTTTCACAGAACACAACGATACATTTAGAGCAGGACAGTTAGATAGACACCCAGAACACCAATGTGTTCTGCGAAAAGGGAAGAGGACATTTTCCCTTGGCTTGCTTTGCTTGTCCTTTTAGGGACTCGCATCCCTTTATCATATTTTTCCAAAAATTCCTTCTTGCTCATCTTTGCATGGTCAGTGAGTATCAAGAGAAGCACAGATATCTCTTATTAAGGGAGCACACATCCCAGCCTCTGAGAGCCCTGATTGTAGATTCACTTGAATTCTTCCAGGCAATGAGTATTGATTAATCAGATTCCACAAAGATGTTCCCACAGCCAACTCCATGGAGCTGTCACTTGCTCCAGATGCTTTCTCCCTGGCACTTCTGATGCTTCTCCATTCCCTGCTCTTGCATGCGGCTGCTCCTGCCTAATTCCCTAGTCTGGCTTCATGTCTGCCCTCACACTGATCTTAGGACCTACTCAGCCTCACGATAGTCTTGGTATACCCCAGAATTTCTCAACATCAGGTACTGTTGACATTTCGAGCCAATCATCTTTGGGGTGGGGGCGGTGTCCTGGACCTTGGAGGGTGTTCCGTGGCATCCCTGGCCTCTACCCCCTAGATGCCAGGCTTGCCCTGCCCAAGTCCTGACAACCAAAAATGGGTTCCCTGGGGCAGAATCATCACTGGTTGAGAACTACTGGTATATCCAGAGGAGGACTCTGTCTTTGGCTGTTGTCATCCCAGCAGCCTCTGAATGTGGTGTTCCAAGGAAAGTTGGTTTCTGTTTAACTGATGAATTAAGTACAGACTCCTAATTCCTAGGAAGAAACAGCGTGCCCCTATTTAGTTTTCAAAGAGCCTTTCTCAGTGTTTGCAAGTGGCCTGTGCACGTAGGATGATATGAATTGCAGATTCTGCCTCTGCTGACCTTGACTTTGAGGTGCTTTGTGCTTTTCCAAGGAAATACACCATGGAAATGTGGGTTGTGAGAGTGGAAGCCTTGCTGTCCCACATGTGGAAGGCAGGACCAATGTGACAGTAAGCCTTGTAGTCTATGTGGCTCCACAGAGTAACTTGAAAACCCACAGACAACTCCCTACCTCTCGTCCCCTCTGCCCCACCACACACGTCCCCCACACACTTACCATTCATTGTGATGTGAGCTCTCCTTGGGTGAAGAGTAGATGGTTGCTTATTAAAATGGAAATAAGCCAGAAGGCCAGGCATGGTGGCTAACACCTGTAATCCCAGCACTTTGGGAGGCCAAGGCCAGCAGATTGCTGGAGCCCAGGAGTTCGAGACCAGCCTGAGTAACATGGTGAAATCCTGTCAATACAAAAAATGCAAAAAATAGCCAGGTGTGGGGGTGTGCACCTGCAGTCCCAGCTACCCAGGAGACTCAGATGGGAGGAACGATTGAGCTCAGGTGATTGAGGCTGCAGTGAGCTGTGCTCACACCACTGCATACCACTCTGGGTGACAGAGTCAGACTCTGTCTCAAAAAAAAAAAAGTCCAGACAAGAAAGTCATTTGTTATAAACACCTTACTTTGAATTTATGACATGCTTTCCACCTCAGCAGGTACTTGGGAGCAGGTTTTATTTGATGAAAATTAGGTGGGAAAAGGATAATCAAAGTAGATTCTGGCAGGGAGCACTGGCCTGTCATCCCAGCACTTTGGGAGGCCAAGGCAGACGGATCACTACCAAGAATGCAAAAAACTTAGCCAGGTGTGGCAGTGAGCGCCTGTAATCCCAGCTACTCTGAAGGCCGAGGCAGGAGAATCACTTGAACCCAGGAGGTAGAAGTTGCAGTGAGCCGAGATAACACCATTGCACTCCAGTCTGGGTGGCGGAGTGAGACTCCATCTCAAAAAAAAAACAAAGTAGGTTCTCAAGCAGACCTCCTAGAAAAAGTGTGAAAAAGGAGCTGAGAAAGCACACCCCATGAGACTTGACTGCCTTATAAAAACTCTAGTAGCATGTACTGGCCTCTCGGCTCGGCTGGGTTCTGTGCAAAACCCCATACATTTCTCCTTCACGACAGCCTTGGGCAGGAGGTGTGATTATTCTCCCGGAGTTACAGATGAGCAAACTGGGTGGCCCCCCGCCTTCACAGTGAATCCAGAGCTATTCCCTGTTAAAGACCCAAGGATGACTGGTTCGTTTGAAATGTGTGCTAGCTCAGAATTAATTCATGTTGGTCTTGTGGTGCTAGCAGCAGGTCCAAGGGAAATAATTTGCAACATCTTGAAAATCACTCTTAGGATCTCAGTGAAGCTCCCAGTTCTCCCTGTTTCAGAGTCACGCTGGGATACTGGGGACTTCAACATGTCACAACTCTTCTGGGTGGCTGACAAAGTGAAGAGAACACCCCTTCCCCGCTTTTGGAGTCAGGCTACCAAGCTGTGCTGTCTAAGCAGCTGTGTGTCTCAGAGACTCCAGTGCGGCAGTTCTGACTGCAGCCTCGACGTGCACGGAGCGCCCCGTGGACCCGGGAGGAGAGGAATAGCCGAGACAGACAGCAGGCCTCTCCCTGCTTCCCCAGGGCACCATGTAAACCTCCTCCAGCCTGAGACCACCCTGCAAATGAGCTCCACTCGCCCACCTGCCCTCTGGCCAGCTCTGTCTAGCTGTGCTAAATCCTAGCTGGCCAGGTGCAAATCTCCCAGCCTTGCCGCCATGCCTACCTCATATTGCTTGAAGCCTAATTTTGGGGCTGGGGTTTCTAGAGCAGCCCAGTTGGAGGGCAAGAATAATACCGTTTTTACTTCATTACGAATATTGCAGCAAAGAACCAGATGGGGCAATAACTCACCCCCTCGCTTGGTCCAGGGGTAACTGCCTGCAGCCCCAGCTGACTGACAGCCCCACTCGTGTGGCATCCGTGCTCTCAGCTCCGCTTGCTCAGTGAGGTGGTTGTGAAGGGACAGGGGCTGTCCCCTTGTTGCTGCCTCATTGCCAACCATGCATTCCCACCCAGGGTTTCTGTTCGGGGTATTTAGAGACTTAGAGTTGGATAACTCATCGTAGTCTGCTCTGCCTGGCTTTTGAATCCAGTAGGCCTGCAAGTCCTCCAGGATTCCTCCTGCCTGACCAGCCCTGAGTTTCCCGGGGCCGTGCTCCTCCCCAGAGAGGGCTCTCGGAAAGCCACTCCTGCATTCTGTCCCGATGACTAACCTTTCCTTCTTTTTGTCTTTTCTCCGCAGTGCGGCAAAGGAGCAGAAAACTTTGACAAGTTCTTCACACGAGGACAGCCTGTCTTAACACCGCCCGATCAGCTGGTTATTGCTAACATAGACCAGTCTGATTTTGAAGGGTTCTCGTATGTCAACCCCCAGTTTGTGCACCCCATCTTACAGAGCGCAGTATGAAACTCACCAGCTAGAACAAACACCTCCCCAGCCCCCAGACTCCAAGCAGCGGGAAGTTATCTTTAACCCTAAAATTTTAAGGCCATGGCCTTGTGTCTGATTCCATGTAGAGGCCTGAAAATTGTAGGGTTATTAGTCCAAATGTGATCAACTGTTCAGGCTCTCTCTCTTACAACCAAGAACATTATCTTAGTGGAGATGGTACGTCATGCACAGTGTCCACTTTAATTCTGTAGAAGTTACATCTGGCTCTAGGTTAACCCTTCCTAGAAAGCAAATGGACTCTTGCCCCATTTTGGGTACAATTTGATATACTTTCCATACCCTCCATCTGTGGATTTTTCACTGTCGGAATCCCCCACCAGAGATGTTGAAGGGAACCTGCCCCAGCCCCGGAGGCTGGAGACCTCTCCACCCAAGACATCTTTGGAATCAAAGAACAGGAAGCCAAGAGGGTGAGAGCAAGGAGGGACTGGGGGTGGGGGAGGCTTCAGAATATCCACTGCTTCCGTTCTCTGCCTCCATGGAAACAGCCCCTAGAATCTGAAAGGCTGGGATGAACCTAATCGCTGTTCCCAAACACTGACAATTCCTAACCCAAGCATAGTCCGGCAGTGACCAGTTTAAAAAAAACAAACACCTCAGATGAGTGTTGGGTGAATCTGTCATCTGGTGCCCTCCTTGGTTGATAACTGTCTTGATAACTTTCATTCTTTGTAAGAGGCCAAATCGTCTAAGGACTTTGCTGAACAAGCATGTGAAATCATGTCAGATCAAGGATAAGCCAGTGTGTATGTACGTTCATTTTAATCTCTGGGAGATTATTCTTCAATCCAGGGTGCCATCAGTAATCATGCCACTACTCACGAGTGTTGTTCGCCAACACCCACCCCCCCCACACACCAATATTTTGCTACCTACCTTGTTAACCTCCTCAAGAAGCTGAAGTGTACGCCCTCTCCCCTTTTGTACTTATTTATTTAGTAGGCCGCAGTGTCGTTTATGAAAGTACGATGTACAGTAACTTAATCGAAGTGTTGACTCTAGCGTCAGCCCCTTCTGATTAGTTTTCCTCCCTTCTCCAGCCCTTGATGTCCACTTAGGGACAAAAATGATACGGTTTGGGTTCCCATTTCCAGTTCATGTTGAATGACACGCCTGGAGCTGTAGAATCAGGAAACCTTGGATGCCTAACAGCTCAAAGATGTTTTATTGCTAGAAGGATTTTAATATGTTTTGCAAATGCATCATGCAATGAATTTTGCATGTTTATAATAAACCTTAATAACAAGTGAATCTATATTATTGATATAATCGTATCAAGTATAAAGAGAGTATTATAATAATTTTATAAGACAATTGTGCTCTATTTGTGCAGGTTCTTGTTTCTAATCCTCTTTTCTAATTAAGTTTTAGCTGAATCGCTAGCTTCTGTGCTTTCCCTCTCTGCCCATTGGCACTGTATCAGATAGATTAATTTTTAAATGTAGATCAAATTTCAAAAATGAATGGCTACTTTACATGATAAATTAGTCTCTTACTAACTGTGTGTGCGTGTGTGTATGTGTGTGTATATATATGTATATTTGATTGTACCTGCAAACAAAAGTTTTATTGGTGGGGACTATTTTTGAGCTGACACTCCCTCTTAGTTTCTTAATGCCACCTCTCGTCCTGGTTCCTCCACCACTCTTCCTCTTGGGAACAGCAGGAAGTGTCTGATTCCGGTCTGCCTAGTACGCTGGAGCACATGTGGCATTGCTGCAGCACCTGGGCTGACGTTTGTGTGTTCGTGTGTGTGTGTGTGTGTGTGTGTGTGTGTGTGTGTGTGTTTTGTTCTTCCCTTCAGCCTGTGACTGTTGCTAACTCCAGGTAGCGGGGAGGGTTGGGGAGACCCCCTCTTGCTGTGTGTACTGGACACGTAGGAAGCACGTTGTCTGTCTTGTTGCCTCTGCAATGACCTGCCATTTGCCCAAGCACTCACAGCCTTCATGAGACCAACACAGCCGTGCCCTGCAGGCACCAGCGCCTGCTCTTCAGAGGCTGTGGACTTTCTTCCAGCCATTGCTGGCATTGGCCTTTCCAGCCTTGGGAGGAGCATGCTGCTTTGGTGAGACACCCCGCCCCCGCCTACCGCAAGGTCCTCTGAGGAGCCAGGTTCTATTACAAACAGAAACAGAATGAAAGTAGCTGTTGGTCCTTGTAGAGAGATGCTCTGTTTCCTCCCAGAAGCATCTCCCAGCTAAGCTCACCTTGTTTTACCCCTCTGGCTGTTTGCCTGAAATTCACAGAACACACAACCATGAAACTGTCTTTGTGGTGAGACCTGGAAACTCCTGAGTAGGAGAGACAGTGTAGGGAATGAGCCCGGCGGAAAAGAGCCATTGCTTCTGCCATCTTTTATGCTCCATAGACATCAAGACTCCAGGGGGGCCTGGCTCCCCGTCCCTGCAGCCCTGCAGGTCAGTAAACAGTCTGGGTTCATGTCCTGACCAGCTGCGCCTCCTTCCATCTGAGGGGAAAGAGATTGGTTTGTAAAAAGAGCCTAGGAGACAAAAGGGCTGGTCCCCTGCTCCAGAATGGAGCAGCTGCAGGACAGACCCCCATGAGGCCCCCAGAGAGGAGAAAGGTCCCACGGAGGAACACATGGGGTTAGGGACCTTTTGTTCAGCACTGCAAATGGCCTGCCTGGTTCTTTTTGTTGTTTTTTGGGGGGTGGGATTTATTTTTTTGAGACGGAGTCTCACTCTGTCACCAGGATGGAGTGCAGTGATGCGTTCTCAGCTCACTGCAACTGCCACCTCCTGAATTCAAGCAATTCCCCTGCCTCAGCCTCCCAAGTAGCTGGGACTACAGGCATGCACCACCATGCTGGCTAATTTTTTTTCTTTGTATTTTAGTAGAGACAGGGTTTCACCATGTTGGCCAGGACGGTCTCGATCTCCTGACCTTTTGATCCACCTGCCTCGGCCTCCCAAAGTGCTGAGATTACAGATGTGAGCCGCTGCACCTGGCCACAGCCTGCCTGTTTTAAGCAAGCAGCAGGCTTAGGCTTAGGCTTTCCCCTGCAAAAGCCAACACCCACAAGTTTGTTTCTCTCGGAAACACATCGACTGTCTCAGCTGGCTGATGATCTCTCAGACCATGTGGCAAAGTTTTCAAAGAAAATGCCCCGATGGGGGTGCCCAGCACACTGCCTGAGGGACAGAAGACCCCAGCACAAATGCCTCAGGGGGAAACAGTAAGAATCAGGATCCAGTGCAGGGTTGCCCTGTGGAGCCTGTATATCCATTGCTGAGTGTTGAATGTGGATAATGGTTAGAGCTCTACAGATCTCAGCAGCCGAAGACAGTGACTGTGGGAAGACTGTCATTAGACATCTGTGAGCAGTGACTCACCCCAGGATCAGTTTATGAAATTCTATGGCACTGCCCCCATCGTGGGCATCGTGTGAAGTGAGACAGCGGCAGGGGCGTGCTGTGGAGCTGATGCAGCCACGAAGGAGGGTCCTGGGGGACCTTTTGGGAAGTGCCTGCTCCTGAGCACTGTCTGATTGCCAGGGCCTGTGGAGGTCTAGACAGCCCGGCAGAGTTGAGCACCATCTACATCCCCAAAGCACCCATGGAGCTGTGACCACACCAGGCCATTCAAATGGCTCTGCGTTGTCTTCCCTTGGAAGGTGGCCACTCCTCGGTGGCAGAATTTCCCTCCGAGGCTGCAGGTCATGCGCTGGCAGCCCATCTCTTGGTGTTTCGATGAAGGTCACCAGGTGTCGGGTTTGAAAGGAAGTCACTGGAGTGTGCTGCCGGGGGCTGCCCTCTGGGTTAATGGGGGGGGCCGCATCCAGGCAAAAATGAATTCAAAAGGCAGATCGAAAACCACAGGAGCCAAAATGATTGCTTCAGCAGCACTCCTCCTCCTCTTTCATCCCGAGGCCTGGTGGGTCCATGCAGAGCCCCCGTCTGCCCTTTCTGATGCCACATATTAGGCCTTCTTATTCAGAATTTGGACAGAAAACCATGGGGTCAAGATCTCTGGAAGCCTGGCTGGAGGTGCTTGGTGGAAAGATTATGAAAGACCAAGATTAATACAACCCAGCAAACGATTGTTGAGCACCTCTCTAAGCCCAAGTCCTTAGGCGAGTGTGATGGCAGACTTCCAGAGAGTCCCCACCACAGACTTGCTGAGAAGGGAGAGGGAGGCAGGGGCTGCAGTCAGGAAGGAGCCGGAGAAGAACAGCGTTTGGGTGCATCCAGAAATATACCTTGCAGTGAGAGGGAGAGGAAGGGGTGCCATTGTCAGCGGCTTCCCATCGGAGGTGGCTAGTGCAGATGGAAGTTTCCATCTGCTGGCCCTCAAGAGAGTGTTTTGCCAGGGACACAGTCTGTTCCTCCTCAGAAAACACCCCCCAAATGCTAACAACATCCCCACCCGCTGCCAGAAGCCCCTTTCCCCTCCCCACCTTGAAGTAGCTCATAAGTTTCTGGGTAGATCCAGACCATCCAGTGTGCCCCAGAGGCGGGTAGATTCCTGCCCGTTTCCTCTCTGGCTTCCTTGCCAAGAATCATGGCAGCTGAGGATGAATGGAGAAGTCTTAAAAACAGCACCGCATCCACCTGGTTCCACTTAGCAGGAGACATTTCAGAGGGGATTTTTTTTTTTTTTTTTTCTGGGATGTGTTTTCTCAGTACTGAAAAGAGAAAAAGTGACAGTCTTGTGTTTTTAAAAGCCTCAGAAAGGTGATGCCATTTGACAGTCATTTTCTCACTTTGGTCTTATGAAGTCTATTTCTTGTGTGTACACATCACACCATTTCCTGTTCCTTTATAAGCCAACAAGGGTAGGAGCGCCTGTTCCCCCACTGGGCACACCAGACAATCATAATCACAAAACAGACACTGAGCCAGGGACCCAAAGGATGTGATCGTGACAGTCACCAAGAAGGACAAGGGTGCTCTGTTTTTAGCAGCCACACACCAATTTGACAAGAAGTGTGTTGCAAAAATTTTTTTAATTGTTTGGTTTTTTCGAGACAGAGTTTCACTTTGTCTGGAGTGAAAGTGGTGCAATCTCGGGTCACCGCAACCTCTGCCTCCCAGGTTCAGGCGATTCTTCTGCCTCAGCCTCCCGAGTAGCTGGGACTACAGGTGCCTGCCACCATGTCCAGCTAATTTTTGTATTTTTAGTAGAGATGGGGTTTCACCATGTTGGCCAGAATAGTCTCAATCTCCTGACCTCATGATCCACCCGCCTCAGCCTCCCAAAGTGCTGGGATTACAGGTGTAAGCGAACACTCCCGGCCCAGGTGACCCACAGCACCTGGTGGAAATATTTTTTAAAAGTCATTTTCCTTGAGCTGCGTGGGCTACAGGTTGTGAAATACACTAGGTAGTCAACATTCCTGTCTCCTCCCATTCAGGCTGATGCAGCAGATCTAGGGAATGCTGTCCGTTTCTGCTGTTAGAAGATCCAGAAAACTGGGAAGGTTACCTGAGGTACACATGGATGAAGGCTGTCCTCTAAAAATGGGGTCAACTGCAATTGTGTTAATTCTGTAGTGTCAGCGATTCTCCGGAAAGGTCAACAGCGTGAATGGTTCTGACCCCTGTGCCTCTCCTCTATGTGATCAGGTGACAGTTAATGACCGCGAAGGTCACACTCAGCCATCCAACAGCCTTACAGGGACCCTACACAAAAGCCCACAGATTCCAAAGACTTTTTTTTAACCTAAAGGAAGAAATTATTTGTTAATTCCAGTAGAGCAACTGAATATACTGGGCTATTTGTACTTTTTTAATGGAGAATTTTAGTAACTCAATTCTTCTTTAAAGATGAGTTTTTAGAATAAAGCCACTGATGATTTCCTAAGAGTCCAATCCCCTGGAGCTTGTAGGAAGACGGCCTGGGTCAGTTGGAGCATGCCCGACCTGCTCCCCCACTGCCAGATTCCCCCCATGCTCCTCGGGTATGGAGTCCACATGGGAATGACTACAAGTTCAGGGGGAACTCGTTAGCAGACTGATGCTCTGTGAGTTTTTAATAGACACTGGGGACAACTGCTTAAGGTCTAGAAACTTCCAAACCACAGGAAAGACAGCTTTAGTGTCCCCCATCCAGAGGCAGCCCTGGAATAGGATTTCCAGGGGTATCTGGGACCCCTTTCCTTGTGCTGAGAGGCTCTGTGGCCACCTTTTGGCAGGAGGTGGATGCTTCCTCAGCTCTGTCCCCACCCCCAGGTCCCCAGGTCTTTCACAGTGGGTGAAGATTCAGAGATGCTCTGTAAGGATTTTGCCCACTGGGCACCTCAGAAATACTTCAGTCTCCCAAGATAGAAGAGGCAGCAGCACACAAGCCTATTGATGTCTGTTTCATAGTTAACCGCTTATGTGAGTAGACCAAACTCCACTGTTCAAAAAGTAGGTATGAAGTCCACTTTATAAGGTTCCTTATTTCTAAAATAAGATAAAAGGCGGCTTTGCATTTTCCAGTTAAACAACTGTGTCTTCGTCACCTCTGCTCATCTTTAGGGGTATCCATTCCTGTGACTGCAGACTTGTTGATATTCTTCCTGGAAGAATGGAATTCTTTTCTGGAAGCATTGGTTGGTTTACCAGAATATTCAAAATCATTCATGAAGGCAGTTACTATTTTGAGTCTAAAGGTTTTCTCAAAATTAACCTCACATCCCTTCCGTTAGGGTCTTTGAGAGTATCTTTTATAAACAGAAGCATTTGAAGTCATTGCTTTTGCTACATGATTTTTGTGTGTGAAGGACATACCATGTTTAAATAATTAATTGAAAAACATCACATAAGACCCCAGTTTTGTCTGGAGGAAGAGACGGAGGTTGAGGTGTTTCCTTCCGTATAAGCACGTACTGACAAAACGTAGAGGCCATTCAGCTGTCAAACACAATTTGGTTATATAGCAGAGGAGATGGATGTATAAACTACTGCATTGCTTTTTTCAGTTTGTATAACCTCTAATCTCCGTTTGCATGATACGCTTTGTTAGATACATTAATTGTAGTTTGGAAGCAAGTGTGTATGAATAAAGATAATGATCATTCCTCTGTGTACTTGGCCTTATTTACATCCCTTTGCGGTATTGCAATAATTTTTCCTCCAGTGTTCAACAAATAGCATTTGGCTTCAGACACACTCCACAGAACACTTTCATTTTGTCACCTGTTTTTCAGGCATGACCCTCCATTTTAAGGTCGCATTTTCTTTCTTTGAATATGTCTTGCTTTGCATCAAAGCCCAGACAGTGACCGGGATGGAGTTCTGGCAGGTCACGCATTCATTCATCCGTGCACTTTTCACAGAGCACCTGCTTAGGGCCAGGAGTTGTGTCAGGCCCTAGGGAAGAAGAGGCTGGCATGGCCCCTGCCTGCATGGAGCTTACAGTCTTGTGCCTCAAACTGCAGGGGATGCCCGGCAGCTGATGACATCATCCAAGGATGGATGGTCCCCTTCCACTGGAAGGAACAATTCCAGAATGAATTCCGCTCAAATCTTGAGACTTTTTCTCCAGAAATAGGTCATTTTCACACATCCTGTTGGCCACACTGTGGATACAGCTTCAGGACTGTCCCCACTTTTAGTGTCAGCCGCCTCGTTCTGCATTTATTCATGGGTGAAAAATTGGGGAAAATGTTCAAATGTGGAACATTCAAAAATACCCAGCACTCGACAACGCAATGGAGGGAATTGGCCTCAAAAAGAGTTAAAACAGGCTGGGCACAGCGGCTGACACCTATAATCCCAGCACTTTGGGAGGCCAAGTGGGGGAGGATCACTTGAGGCTAGGAGGTCGAGGCTGCAGTGAGCTACAATTGCACCAGTGCACTCTAGCCTGGGTGACAGAAGACCTTGTCTCTTAAAAATAGCAAACACCAAAGCCAAGATCCAACCTTGGCAAAGTCTATCTTTGCTGATTTTCTCACCTCCTTTTGGGGAATGCTCTCCCCTCATGCTCATGGCTTCAACCCACTGCTGCCACACTCCCTCCCAAAGTCCCCTAATCCTGCAGCCACCCAGTCCGGCCTGCCCCTCCCAGCACACTCTGCATCCACACATGCCTCCCGGTGTTCTCTTCCCTGTAGGCCTTGCTCCCAGCGACGGGAGTGCCAGTGTCCTCTCAGTGGATGTTCCCTCCCTAAGATGCTGTGGTCACGCTCAGCCTCCTGGAGATGAAGGGTCTTTCAGCTGCCCGTGCAACAGCTGGCAGGGAGAGCTATGTTGAAGAAAAGCAAAGGGCAATTTTCAGGTCTTCAGAGCAGTGTGGTCTCTGTACCCCTGGTGCTGGCCCTGACCTTCACTCCAGGCTGGTTGACCTCACGTATGTGTGTAGCTGTGGCTATTCCTCACGTTGCCCAGCAGAGTAGCTTACCGTGACTGTTGAGCATGCCCTCCGCTTCCACCAGTGTGCTGTTTTATTTTATTTCATTTTTGCTACAATGCAGAATGGAGCAGAGTTGGTCACCAAGCAGTATCCTCACAGGCAGCTGGTGACCCAAGGGACTGAGTCGCCCCACCCAAGTTTACTGCTGTAGGGAGGTCTCAGAGGCACAGCCAGGATCCAATATGGCTGGTCCTCCTGGCCCCACAGAGGCAGCAGGGACAACCTGGGCACCAGGTAGTGGGCAATTGTCCTTCCAGGGGCGTTGTGTGTCGCCCAAAGTGGATGCTAAAAAACGAGTCTTTCTGGCTGGGTGTGGTGGCTCCCGCCTGTAATCCCAGTGCTTTAGGAGGCTGAGGTGGGTGGATTGCCTGAGCTCAGGAGTTCGCAACCAGCCTGGTTGCCTGAAACCCCATCGCTACTAAAATTCAAAAAATTAGCTGGGCGTAGTGGCATGTGCTTGTAGTCTCAGCTACTCAGGAGGCTGAGGCAGGAGAATTGCTTGAACCCAGGAGGCGGAGGTTTCAGTGAGCCGAGATCATGCCAGTGCACTCCAGCCTGGGTGACAAAGTGAGACTCCGTCTCAAAAGGAAAAACAAAAATGAGTCCTTCTGTCCAGTACTAGCCTTCCCTTCGCATGCCCACCCTGCCCATCAAGTTCGTGAGCAGGTACTCTTGGGTCTACTCTAAATCAGGGTTCTTGATCAGGGGCCATGCTGGCCCCCACAGGGCACATGGCAATGTCTGGAGACCATTTTGGTTATCATAACTAGAAGGAAGTCTTATTGGCATCGAGTGGGTAGGTGCCAGGAGTGCTGCTAAACACCCTGCAATGCACAGGACACCCCCAGCCCCCAGCAAGGCACCCTCCCACCCAGGTGTCAGTGCTGCTGCCACTAAAAACCTGATTCTAAAGGAGACTCTGAGTTCCCCTTCTTTCCCTCTCCCCTGTTCTTCCTCTTTGTCCTTCCGGATCCCACATGGGCCTCTCCGCAAAGCAGCCATCGGAACCTTGCCTGAGCAAGGTTCTTGCCTGTTGAAAGCCCTCTGTGGCTCCCAGTACCCAGCCTTCCCCATGGCCTTTCATCCTCACATGCCCAGCTCTGAGCCCAAGGATTCAAAGGTTGGTAGAGTGAGCTTGGAGAGGCACTAACTGCTTCCTCTCTCTCTCTCTCACTCTCTCTCTCTCTCTCTCTTTCTCTCTCTCTCTCTCTCTCTCTGTGTGTGTGTGTGTGTGTGTGCACGCACATGCCCTTTCCCATGAGAATAGAAGCTGTAAGAGGAGCCGGCTTGCCCATCCTGTTTGCTGCTACATCCCAGCACCTAGAGCAGAGCCTGGCACATAATAGGAGCTCAAAATGTTTGTTGAATGACTGAGTCAGTGAGTGGATCCCAAGACCGCTCTGAGCCTAACAAGGTGTTCCAGAAACCCTTACTAGGCTATGGCCTCTGCCCTGAAGGTGTTCATACACTAATGAATAAGGTAAGATATACGGATAAAGATCAATTAAAGATCATCTCTCAAACTCATGATGAGTTTCAGCCTGGGAAACACCAGTTCTCAACCTCTGTCCTTTAGCCCAGAATTTGGAGACGACAGCTGTGCCTATGGTTACTCTTGAGTGATTATTTAACTCGCTGAGCTTCCCCCTTGCCCCTGGCTTATTGTGTGCCCTGGGGATGAAATTATGGTTCAGCTAAAATGCTAATGCACACGGGCAAAGGCCAAGGCCATGTATTTTCACGCTCTGTCCCCATCCTGAGAGCGCACATCATAGAGAGCAGGGCATTGCCTGCAGAGAGTGGGCGAGAAGTGCTTTTGGCTCTAAGAAAGCAGAACTGGATGTCTTCCCAAGATTCTTTTTTTAACAAAGCTAATTCAATAAATACATTGCAAAGAGGCCTATTCTAGGCATGAAAGGAGAACATGGAAAATGGCTCTAGAGAAATAAAAGAGCTAGTGGTGGGCTCAGGGACTCAACAGACAGGTAGAAGTGGCACAAACCCAAAGTATAAAGGGGGCTGTAAAAGGAGCTTAGGAACTGTGTGAACACATGCATGAACACACACACAGATGCACACACACGTACACAGACACACACATACATGCACACAGATGCGCACGCACATGCACACAGGGGCACGCACACTAATTGATTCCAGAGACGTACCAGTCGCTCTTCTAAGTTCTTTACGTGCATTTATTTAAAGCCCACAGTGATGTCCCCTGCCCACAGATAGGAGGAAGAAAGGGAAGTCCAGGAGCTTAAATAACAACACCTAGGGGAGCAACACCAGACAAATGGAGCCAACCGAAAGAGCAGAGAAGTGAGCACGCCAGATGCCTTCCTGGGGGAGGAGGCGGGGAGGCTGAGGTCCGACTGAAAGGCTGGGAAGGAGAGGTCCCGAGCAAGCAGACAGCAGCATGCAGGCAGGAGGGGCAGGGCTGGCATGCACCAGTGCTTAACTTGTCCTCTGAACACACCCATTTCATTTCATCCTCATGGTACCTCCATGGGATGGAGGTCATTGTTCACATCTCACAGAGGGGAAACTGAGGCCCAAAGTCATTAGCCAGTTCCACATTCACAACTCAAGCAGCACAGTCCGGCTGGACACCGAGTCGCTGATGTTCCTCGCCTCATTCTGAGAGGGGTCAGATGTAGCAATGGGTGGGGAGCTTCAGGGCCAGACCCTGCTGGGGATCTTCTCCTGACTGTGGTTCTTTCAAAGCCCATCTCATTACCAAGGGAGATGTTTCTTGCTCTTGGCTGACTGATGCTTCTGAGACTTGATGCCCTCCTGTAACTGTTTCCGGAAGCCTTTCTCCCACCTTCACCCTCCTTCTCTTGACTTTTTTTTTTTTTTTTTTTTTTTTTGAGCTGTCTGGGTGTGGGAGGAGAGAGAAAAATAGCATCACAGTTCTCAGAACACAGCAGGTGCCTCTGCAGCCTCCCTCACCTGCCTGACTTGTCTGGAGAGGCCCGGGAGGAAGGAGGAAGAAGGCAGGAATGGCTGGTTGGCCCCAAGGCTCCCCCTCCCATTGCAGAACAGCCCCACATTGAGACCCCACCTCCCCCTACCCCAGGAGTCAAAAACAACCCAAGACAAGCGCCATCCAGTGGGTAGAGAACTTGTCACAGTGAAGTAACTGATTTCTTTGGCGATGGGCAGGTCAGGGAGAAAAGGTTGAGCTTGGTTAGGTCAGAATACTGTGGGAATGCTTTTGGGCTTCTGGAAAATTTACAAAAATTACACCTGCTTCTTGTAGCTAATACAGATGAGGAAAAGAAAATTCCACCCTCCCGAGATAGTTAGACTCCTTGATTACTTGCTAACTTTATTTAATTATTATTCATCATCTTGTTATCTTTTCATGATTGTACCACTGTATTAGTCCATTTTCACACTGCTGAAAAAGACATACCTGAGGCTGGGTAATTTATAAAGAAAAAGAGGTTTCATGGACTCTGTTCCATGTAGCTAGGGAGGCCTCACAATCATGACAGAAGGTGAAAGGCATGTCTTAACATGGTGGCAAGCAAGAGAGAATGAGAACCAAGCAAAAGGGGTACCTTGATAAAACCATCAGATCTCATGGGACCTTATTCACTACTACAAGAACAGTATGGGGGAAACTGTTCCCATGACTCAATTATTTCCCA